AAAAAATCTTTTGTCGACCTCTTAGGTAATAAATAACATTTTTTTTGTAAATTATGTAATAAATCATATTGTAAAATGAAAAATTAGCGGGCCAACCCGCCAACTCGTTACCAAACAGGGAGAGCATGACTTTTGAGATTGGACGCCTAAGTTGGTCCGCCCCGCCCCGCTTTTAGATGGGTTTAAACGGGGTGGGATGCCCACTTTGCCACCTATATATATATATATATATATATATATATATATATATATATATATATATATATATATATATATATATATATATATATATATATATATATATATATATATATATATATATATATATATATATATATATATATATATATATATATATATATATATATATATATATATATATATATAATCGTACATGATCAGAGAAGAGTCAGTAGCCTGCCACGCGTCGTGAGTTGTTGCCTTCATTGGTGTTGTAGAGGAGAAAGGGGGTGTACTTGCAAGATTCTCCGATGTTTAAGTGAGTAACGGAACTAGCGAGAGAGAGAGAAAGAGAGAGAGAGAGAGAGAGAGAGAGAGAGAGAGAGAGAGAGAGAGAGAGAGAGAGAGAGAGAGAGAGAGAGAGCAAGTACAGAGAGAATGTGTAGTAAATAAGATACCTGACCCTCTAGTGAAAAAGGGTATTTATAATGTGCCTCCAACGTAGGGCCAACTGTTACATTGCAGTGGGCCGGATGTTCCATTTATCACTGAAGGGACGGGGCCCTTCCATCAGGTTGTCGAGGATCGCGTGGTCGCACCGGGAGCTGAGGAGGAAGACAACGACCCGGTCGAGGTGGGCGATGACCAGGAGGAGAATGAAGCCTCTTACTTTTATTTTTGTTTTTCTGGCCTGCACGCCTATGTTATTTTCCTGACCTGCATGCCTACCTTTGATGTATCCGTTTATGGCCTACTAGTCATTCTTGTAATTTTTGAACAATGGGCTTTGCCCGCTATTTTGGAAATGTAGTAACTTTAATTTCATGCAGTGTGTGCTTTATTTTCTATGTTTCCTTGTTTTCTATGTATGAATTGCATTTCTGTTTATTTTCTTACTCGACCTGTTTGGTGACCGACTGTGCGGGGAACTGGCCGGGTAATCGGAGTTGGTATTCGATCCATGATGGGGCCAAGATCTCGGTCGAGGTATTTTTCCAAGGCGTGAATCCTTCTGCCTCAATGGTACAGCAACGATGGGGCTCGGTTGAGGGGGTCCCTGCTGGATCAATGGTCTTTCCCGCACACGCAAGGGACTGACTCTTGTCTTTTTGTTTTTAAAATTAGGATTTGAGTCTGTACTGTGTCGCGCCTGTTTCCCATGAAAATTAGAAAACAACCGCTGATCTTCTAAATCTAACTTTGGTGACTCACAAGATCAATCAGATTGATCCTAGGACATGCGCTAAATTTTAATCTACAGAAAATACTAAAGACTGAACACTTCGAAAATGTTTATAAAGAAAGATTAGTGGAAGTGTATGGTTCGACAAGAAGGTAAGAACATTAATTTGAAAGAACAAGTAAAATGCTTTAAGGAAAAAAGGCTTAGAAGAAACAAAACGTAATGCCAAAGACGTAAGTTGCAGGAAAGTAAAGGATAAACTCTTTTAATACAAAGCGAAAGTAAATTTCATTAAAGCATAAAATAGTGTTTTTACATTACGTACATTCTCCCATAACTCTTTTTTCTACACACATATACTTTGAGTAATTTTGGAGTGACTTGTACAATATTAAACACAAACACGAATTCTATTACTAGAACTCCTATTTATAATAGTAAAATCAACTGTTGTTAACTGCTCAAGATATCATCCCCCGACAAGTGTCATGTTGCATGTAGTTGCCTCTTGGATGTGCGCCACTTGTCTCGTTCAGAAATGAGAAAGCATAACTACTCCCTCATTTATTTGAATTTCAAATTCTACTAGTATTTGGGCCAGCGTTCTCGGTCTAAGGTGACTTCTCTAATTTTTAGAAATATTTTCTAAGTTCTAAAAGTCTTTCTTTCTTATTTGAATGTCTTCAATTTCATTTAATGGAAAAGACCCACTCGAAGGCTTTTCCACATTACTTCAAGAACTCAACATTTTAACCAAACACTCTATTTTAATGTGTGCGTCGAATTTATGAGCTAACAAATTGCCTCCCAAAATTGTCTTTTTCGACAATGCTGAAGAAAAAGGATATTTTTTGATAGTGTCTTATTCGACGCCATCTTTCGACTCCATGTAGGTGTCAATGCAACTGACCACCCATGACTCAAGAGAAACTGTTCAACTACTTTTCAAGCACGTCCATGACGTCATGGCCAATTATGAAAACAATTTCTTGGAAATCCCACCAAATCACAGACCATCATCATCTCTCCTAGGCCCTATTAGATCATGTGTATAGGTAATAACTGCCACCGCCCCCACTTTCACTACCGGGATGCCGCATGTCCCACTACCTTTAGCCCTCAATGATGAATAGTGACCTTTGATTACTTCAAAACGTCTTATAAATAATCTCCTCAGGAATCATTTCAACTATTTCCACCTCAAGCAATCGCTACGCACTTCTTCCAAACACTCCCAACTTTTCCTCAGTAAACCCATTTTCTACTAAACCGTTAACAATGGTATCCTCCACTGCTGTTACTCAAGATTAGAAGAAAAACTCAAAGGTCAAGGGGCCAAAGATTGTGTCGTTGCTTCCTCTCTTTGATACACTAAGCAGGCCCAAAATGGTGAAGAACCAACAATTCACGATTCTCAAAATCTTCCGATTCTCACCAAACCAGTTTCTATAGTCTTAATCTAACATCTCTCGACTAAACTACACAACTTCACGATTCTAACCGTTAAAACTTTGATTCTACCGATTAAACCAACTTCTGCCCTAAAAGGGAAAATGAGTAAAAACTCTCTAATAATCCAAAACAATCCAACGAAAGCATACATAATCATACACATGGATAAAATAACAATATTTCACACCCTTACCCGATTAAATCGACTCCTAAAGGTTGATTCTTGATGATTCCAAGTTTTTCCTCTATTTCTCTTCTTTTCTCTTCCTCTTCTTTCTTTCTCTACTCTTTCTTTCTTTCTCTTATGTTTCTATTTTCTTTTCTCTCCAATTTCCACTTATATCTCTTTCTATTCTATTTCTCTCAAAACATCTATTAATCCATTTTCTCACAAATATCCAACTTAACACTAAATACCAAATGTCTAAAATACCCTCCAATCTATTTTCTCCCGAAACTCCCAAAATCGGTAAAATAGCACAATATGCAAACATAACATATTATCACATAAATTTCACAATTAAAAAAAATAATCACCCAATTAAATCAAAAGACTCAACAAAATGGGAATAATCGAAATCGGGGCGTTACAAGAGTGACCTATGTCAATTTTACCGGACCCCTTGGTGGGCACTAATTGTACTTTCTAAAAGTACAACGCGTGACAACTCCCAGTGGTTAAGAATTGTCATAGGTTTTTAGGGTTTATGGTAAGGTCAGAGTTAGCTCACGCAGGGAGGTTAGAATCTATGTATCTGGTATTTTTGTGTCTTTAATTAGATCCATTCTCAACCTTAAAATTTAGGTATTTAATTTGTAGAAGTCCACGGGCTTGAGTTTTAGGCATCCAAGAAATAGCAACCACCTCTATGAGAGTGGGAATGTAACAACTAATTCCTTATTATTCAGAAGAATGTGTATTTTTTCGCTTGACTCTCTTTTCTAACCATTGTGGACTAGAAAATGTCACTTCTCACTTTCTTGTGAATCAACCTTGTTATCTAGGGAATGAGCGACATTACCTGACAATGGGTGTCCACCCAATAATTGTGTGACTAAGAGATTGGTGAGAGCGACATGTTGTATTGCCTCCTCTTAGTGGATATTCTATGCTGCCTTATTTAGGTCTTTTGCCAATATACTAGGACACTTAGAAAGTAATGCATTTTCCTATTTTAAATAGGGGAGATGGTTGATAACTACACAAGTGTGGAACAACACGAGATGTTGTCAGCCATTGGATTAATCTGGACTGTTAGTGCGACGTTTCTTATAAAGGTTACATGTGATTCGAAGAAAAATGGGCGTTCCTATTCTGCATTCAGCAACTTTGTTATTTCGTAATTGAGTATTCTTTCGTGATTATTTATCTTTAGCTTTAATATATCAAATGCATGTACATACTTTCTTTTACCATTTAAACAATTTTTTATTGTGTGTTTAGTTATGCGGCGATGAGAATTAATTATAAGTAAATTGATAGTGTTGATTATAATTAAAAGTGAGTTGAACGTAAAGTGATTTATGTTTGAATACATTTATATAAAAAGTAAGTTAAATAACAATTTTTAGTGTAAAAATCAGGTTTAGACTCAAAAATTACAAATTCTAATTTAAAATAGAATCAATTATAAAGACAAAATTCATTATAATCTAAACAATCAAAACACCTCAAAATTATTTCAAAATCAATTCAACATCTCTAAAATTATTTATACCCTACTATGATTTTATTTAGTAGTTATATGAATTAGCTGTTATCTAAAATGTTTGTAACATTTTGAAGAAAAAAAAATTCCCAAACAATTATTTAAATAATAAAAATCCATTATCCTTGTTGTACATATATAAAAGGTTCCATTATACTTGAACAAATAAACAAATCCATTATCTAAAGAAAAGTAATAAAAGTCCAAAAAACAAATACAGAGGTTGGGGGCGTGGGTCCGAATCTGGTGTGTGTAGGAGCATTTATCAACCAGAAAAGTCACTGCATTCACAATCCTAATACACACAGAGAGAAAAACGAAAAGACAAAAGGCGATTCGTGGTTTCGTTCGTGATCCCTTTCCATGTCGCCAACGAATCGCTTCTAACTGTTTCGATTCCGATCTCTGTGCTTACTCATAGTGGCATAGAATAGGATAACAGCGAACAACGATTCTTCATTTTTTTAACGTCAGCCATGGCAGCAGCTCCCGCTAGAGCTCGTGCCGATTACGATTACCTCATCAAGCTTCTTCTTATCGGCGATAGCGGTTCGTTCATTCTTCTCCTTTTTTTCAGATCTTCTTTTATTTTCCTCATTATTTCGGATTTTTATTATTATTATATATCATATAAACGATCCTTTTTATTTTCTGGTTACGCAAATTTTAGGTTAGTCTTTGTTGATTGTATAATAATTGCTGTATATAGGAGTATTATATGATCCTATCTCGTCAATGGCAATGTTATATTAATGCTGATCTATTAAGCACAAACACCGGAAACAACATGATGCCGACAGTTCCGGGCACCAATAATAATTTGAGATAATGAAATAATTAAGCGTGACAAGTGTCGTGTTCCGACACTAACACTGACCCGTCTTTTTCCAGAGGTGTCAGTGTTACAGAGATTGTGATTGATGGTTCATGGTGACCAGCCAAAATTCGGCCATATTTTGGGTTGGAATCTACTTTCTTTAGGAGTAATTTGTCTTAATTACTCAGTTTAGTACTATTTGCACACTTTGAATGTTATCAATTCATCATATGCGTAGCTGAATATTATTAGGTTATTTTTACGTTCATGCACATCGAATTTTTGATGAATTTAATGTTTATAGTTATGTAATCATATATTTGACCTGTTATATAGAAGGTGTTTGATGTAGTTGACAGTAGTTTATAAATTTAATGAAAATTTGCGGACTTGATCCACTTGTTAAGAACTTCTAATTTATTTTTTGGATTAGTGAGATGTAACGTCTTCAAAAGAGTTATTTAGGGGACCAACTGGATTCTTATCAATACAAAGTTAAACCAAAAATAATCTACAGAGCTTAATAGAAAGATCTAAAACTAACATGTGTTAAGAATAATGAGCTTAATTGATAAAATCAAATAATATCATAAGTATCATCATCTTGGTCATCATCAAAATAATAATATAAGTGGAGTAGTGGGTGAATATAATATTATTTCAAACCATAAGAACAGATTAACTATAAGAAATGCGAGTGGCAAATATAAGGACATGATCTCGATAATAGAAAGGAGATGTTACTATCTTAGAGATGACAAAAAGGAGATATTGCTGGAAAAAAGAACAATGAATAGAAAGTAAAAAAGAATAAGATGTTTGATGATTTGTTCACTGGAAGTTGAAGCTTGCTAGATAGCGGAGTTCATAGGAGATGTCATGTTGAGATTAAATAGTTTTGGCAAAGAGTATGAAGTTGGAGTCTTACATGTGAGGCTGCTGTTGCACGATAGTATTAGTCTTTAAAAGTAGTTTTTCTTAGGGGTCATGTGGGTTTCAGGTTAGGTCAAGAGACCCCATTTATTTGGCTTTGTACCTGTAATTTTCTCCGTTATCACTGCTGACGCCGTAGGTGCGATGAGTATGGCAGTTACCACTACCTTCTATTTAAAAACTGAATGCCATAAAGTTTGTACGGCAATTAGTCAAAAGTCTACCATGCCATAGCAGCTCCGCAATTTGACTACACTGTATCTAGTTTGGTTTTAATGTTGTTATGGTTAAAACTTGAATAACATTTTCTTCTTTTACACATATATGATTTTTTAGTACTTTTATGGCTCAACTATTCGTAGGTGTGGGGAAGAGTTGTCTGCTTTTGAGATTTTCTGATGGTTCCTTCACAACCAGTTTTATCACTACTATTGGGTTAGTATCTGTAGACTTCTTTAATCCCTTGTGATAGCGCTATAGGAGTTTCTTTTTGTGTATTTCAAGGTGCATATATCTATATTCCCCCTATCTACTCACTGTTATCTATTGTAAGTTATTTATTAGGCTCCTGAGTCTCTTTTAATATGCTTTAGAAACACAGGAAGCTCAGACTCAAAGAGTTCATTTCATGTATACATATTAAATTGTTTTAACATTGTTGCTTTCTCATTTTTTGTATTGGATACTAGATTTCGTTCATTATTTACACATAAATAATTGTACACACTACACAACCAGACATATATGTATTTTTTTTAATGAGAATATAAAATCTTATTATAAAAATGTATGGCAGTATTGATTTCAAGATAAGAACGATTGAACTTGATGGCAAACGCATTAAGTTGCAAATCTGGGATACAGCTGGTCAGGAGAGATTCAGAACTATTACTACAGGTATGTGTTTTGTCTTGTGCAAACTTGTTAACAAATTCAAAATTGGCAATTGTCCACTTGGTCTCATACACTGGGAATTGGTAACTAATAGGCTTATATGTTTAAAACATATTCCTCTACAAGTTAATTGGCAGTTGTCCACTTGCCCTTTTGAACATAATTAGTTATATAGTAAGCATTATCAATTTATCAGCAACTTTTGTTTTGAAGGGAACTTTTTTATATAATTCTTTTGTGCAGAAGTTACTAGTTTTGAAGGAATGTAATTTAAATCATTATGCACTGTGACTCAAATCTAAAGCACACGGGGGCCTGTTGTATACTAATATAAAATTATAAGATTACTTTAGTCTGATATTCAGTTCTTAATGACTGCAATTTTAAATACTACTGATCAGTCTCCTACTTTTATTGTCTGCTCCATTCATTGATAAAAGGAACATGTCTTACAATGTTACTTTCTGTTGCAGCTTATTACCGTGGAGCCATGGGTATCTTGCTGGTTTATGATGTTACTGATGAAGCATCTTTCAATAGTACCCTCCTTTCCCTGGTCTTGTTTTCGGCTTTAAGATATTTCAATGAATTTATTTTGATGTATATATGCACTCGTGTTTGAGAATCGTAGGCTTCATTTTGGCTTCAGCTGACCTAGAAAATTGTATTTGCTTCTTATTTTCCCATTTCCTCTTATTCCCTTGTAACCCCAGTACTTTCCGATTCACATTTAACTAGCTAGATTTTGAAGTGGTCTGTTTTTCTTTTACGATTAACTTTACTTAATTTCTTCCTGTTCAGATATTAGGAATTGGATTCGCAATATTGAACAACATGCTTCTGACAATGTAAACAAGATACTTGTGGGAAACAAGGCTGATATGGATGAAAGTAAAAGGGTATGTACTTTTGGGGGTCCTTTCTATATATATTATACATCTTAGCTGGCCGGGGTATGATGTTAGTCGACAAAGCAATTGTTGCACAATTGGCTGGTGCAAAAACCACATTTATTTATCGATCTGAGATTGAGAAATCTCTACGTGCTTTGTGCTGTTTTTAATTTATTATATTTTCCATTGATACAAACATAAGGTGTTACTTATTTTTTTTTTAATAAAAAACATAAGGTGTTACTTTTTCTCTAGGCTGTACCTACCTCCACAGGTCAAGCTCTTGCTGATGAGTATGGTATCAAGTTCTTTGAAACTGTGAGTTGCAGTATGCTTGATTTTCACATTTTCGTTAAATTATGTGATTTCTTTTTACTTATATTGAAGAACGCATGCAGAGTGCAAAAACAAACATGAACGTGGAGGAAGTTTTCTTTTCAATAGCAAGAGACATCAAGCAAAGGCTTGCAGACACAGATTCTAGATCCGAGGTACTTTGTTGACTCTTTGCCATCTTTTCATTTTTTTTAACTCTTGAGAAGTGTAACTTCTAGAAGTAAGATTTTGCCATCAAGTACTTATTCTGCTACTTTGCAGAAGAAGTACATAGTTTTGTTGCTTCTTTCTTTTTACTCAATGACGATATTTTCTTCTATGGTGCTTCAGCCTCAAACTATCAAGATTAACCAACAAGATCCGGCAGCGAATGGTGGTCAAGCTGCAACAAAATCAGCTTGCTGCGGTTAGTGAAAAGAATCAATATCTGCAATAAGAGGATGCGGGTTCTACAGTAGTGCTCATTTGGGTGCTAATGTTATTCTGATGACAATATTCGTGGGAGCATGTATTTGTCCCTCTCTATCTCCCAACTTCAGATGTCGTGTTTTAAAATTTATATTTTTAACTGTTTATTTTCCTTTTCATTTAGTTGGTGAAATTTGTGCTGACTTGTTGAATTGCTTCAATTTCTTCTTTCATATGTAGTCTTTTACTCTAAGATATATTGACGGATAGATTATCACAACACTTCACTTGCAAATTACAATGTATATTAGTCCAAAAGTTATGCTGGTTTAACACTTCACTTGCAAATTACAATGTATATCAGTCCAAAAGTTACTCTTAAGATATATTGACAGATACATTATCACAACACTTCAAATGCTGGTTTAAGAATATAGAAACGGCCATAAAAATGGTTTTGCATGGAACTGAAGTGGAAGCCTTGTATAAAAAAAACTGCATTTGGTGACGTAATTAATCCATGGGTTTGAGAAACATTCTTATAGTGTTTTATAGGGCTTCTGCAGTTTATTTTTAAAGCAGAGGATCATAATCCGAAATCTATAAGATAAAATGCTCTTGGTGCTGAAACTGTTCACAGTTTCAGATTACAAAATCACAATGCATGAAATATTGCAGTTTCATCCAAAACAAATCCGATTCATAATGTGAAACCATGGATAAACATATGTTTTACTACTTTGCTTAATGTTTGGGATATTATATATTTCTTTTAAAATTTATTGAACAAATTAATCAAAGCAAAAGAAAGGTTGGGGTTAACATACGATAGTTCTTAATAGGTTGCCCCCAACCCATCATTTTCATCCATCATCATTATTTTTAGTTATCACACCCTTATTCATAATCTACTATAGTTCACACAGGAGATCATTAAAAAAAAAAACTAACAATGTTAGTATTGTTATTCTGAAAGTGGACCTTGACCTCTAATTTTATCACGAGGAGCACCGGTAATATTCTCTTTTCAACACTCTCAAACATTCACTTTTTAATTGGTATAAACATGTGTGGATCCCTCACTTTAGAAATAGGTTTCACATAATGTGATAGTGTTCATACATGTTTGAACTAATAAAAAAGTGTTATTAGCATTTCTCTCTTTGTCACTTTGCTCTTTTAACACTATCGCACTAGTAAGAGAATTTTCCTTGCCGAAGTGTATCCCACGTCCTATTATTTTCAAAATTCTTCAATGTTATCCCGCTTTTTTTAATTTATCTTAAAATTTTACAATGGTTTGAAAAAACTTTGTTCCTAAAACTTCTATAAATCTTGAAAAATGTATAAATTTGATTTATAGAAAATTCAGTCATATTAAAATTTTTCACCACCCTCATAAATTTGGTAGACTTATTTTTTTTTTAAATTATCTTATATGGTATGTTAGTTGTCTATTGAGGTGGATGTGACACCTATAAAATTAATAGATATTATACTTTCTCTGATTCACTTTACAACAACAATTTATTTCTTAAATTCATTCGACAATCAATGTATATGGTCTAATAATAGACTAGATACATTGATTATTTAATGAATCCAAAAAGTAAATTAATTTTTATAAATATGATCAGAATGAATATTAAGTTTATGTTCACACCGACTCAAATAATAACATAAGATGTTACCTGAATAAGTACTAATACAACAATAAGTCAGGAAACAATAATCTCGGTCCATCACATGCACTATGTGCAATTTGTGTCGTTATAGCAATAGCCTCACCATTTGAGTTATAAAATCCACAAGGTTATAAAAAAGAAGAGTTATTGTTTACATTCTCTATTGATCAGTCATGCCAAGTGGTGGAGGTGACACTGGGATGTCATTTGAAGGTCCAACAATACTTGATAGTCCGATAACATTTAAAGGGTCAGCTAAGATAAAAGGGATGATGAGAGAATGCGATATTCTAAAGTACCATTGTAAGTACCCAAACTAGAACACTACATATGAAATATTACAATCACTATATATTCTTTAATCGCATCAACTAAACTCGTCAGTTAGCACATACACAAATCCATCAATGATAGATGATACAATAAATTTTGGTTGTGGTATCCCTTGCACATAGCCAAACTAGAAGAGACACCGCTAAAAAAAGGTAAACAATCATTGCACTCTCCCAACTTATATAACTTGAAAGTAATGTAATGTCATCAAAATCGCGATGCACTTGATGGTCTATGTATGGTGTTAATATGACATCATCATAGGTGAGTGACTCAACCCTACTCATATATTTCAGAAGACTGTTTGTGCAAAGCATGCTTTGTATCTCATCTAGTCGCTCATGGGGAGCCCTCTATGATAGAACCCCTATCATGCTTCTTACAATTGAAAAGTGATGTGTTTATAGATTAAACACTACAGTAAAACATACAATTTAAAACCACACACCTTTATATAAAATTTAACGAAAAAAGATAAGAGATATTTATATCTCTCATTGCCATAATTGGAAGGCAACATGATCACGATACCATGTCAGCAATGTTAAGTCGAATGACCCTTCTTGGAAGCCTTATGCAGCCTCCTCTCTCGTAGAGCTCAAATGATCGTCATCAATATTGTGTTCTGGTAACACTGTATGATTACACACTTCAACAGGTGCCTCTGTCTGTATCAACATGATACAACACCTCAACATATGTCTCGTTATCATTTCCTCTAGAGAGACCTTCTAGAAAAGAGAATTTAAGGTTCATGATTATCTATGTTCTTTCTATAGTGAGAACCAATGAAAGTTAATCCACATGTCTTAATACATAATGGACCATCACCAACATTATATGTCACTCAATATAGGGATAATGTTATCGTCTCTTCCTCTTTTCCTCACAAAAAAATAAACAATTATTTTTTTGGAAAATAAAATAGCCATTGAATTTATAAGGAAATCATATTGCAGCTGAATCCCATACAAACTTTATAGAAAATTTGGTGACACCCATGCATGCATATCGATTGTGTTTTTCCCAACAAAAAAAAATTGGTGCCACTCCTGTATATTGATTTGATTCACCAGTTTCGTAGCCCCAATAAAGAAATTAGTTATGCCTTCAGTTTCTTCCATCTGAAACAATTCATACATTCTTTTGTGAGTTTGTAACCCTGCCATTTTCACCTTTTCAGCACCTCCAAATAATTTCTCCAGGATATCTCATGCTTCTTAATTCTACATCACTTGGTTTTTTAAAATTGCCTGGATCAATGTATTGATGAATTTAAAAGAAAGGTTTATAATCTTTCTTCTTCAATTCTCTATGTGAAACCTTTTGTTTATCTATAACATCTTGTCTAATTGGCACTACTCATTCCTTCACGGGATCCCAAAGTTGATAACATAAAATAATCTTCATCTACTTACACCCATTCTCATAAATATTACTATTTAGAATTGGAAGACTTGCAGGAAAATGTCTGTTCAAATGATTCATTGCAATATACTTCCAAGAATCACACAACCAGTGTTCTAGATACCCGATGTTAGAATTACACCTAAAACTTAAGAAATTCTGAATCAATCTTTCTAGTTGATAACACATCTTATTCTTCACTCTTCACCGAATGAATCAACAACACCTTTGTTGCAAGATGATTTTTGTTGCATAGAAATTTAAGAAAAAAGAAAAAATGAATTGAGAAAGAAAATAGATATTAGGGTTATAACGAAAAGGGAAAAAAGAAGAAGATTTTGCAGAGTTTCTCTTTGGTTTCAAACTAAAATTTTATTCCCTTTTATTCCCTTTAAAATGGATATGTATCTCCCTGTTTATAGTTGAGTTTGCTTGCTTATCAAACAAACTCTAACTAACTCAGCTAAAACACAATAAATGCTAAGTTAAATTCGTTGAGGCTAGCTCCTTTGACATTTTGACAGTTTACTTTTACACACAAAGAATTATATATATATATATATATATACACACACACACACACACACATATATATATATATATATATATATATATATATATATATATATATATATATATATATATATATATATATATATATATGTGTGTGTGCGTGTGTGTGTGTGTTTGTGTGTGTTATGTTGTAAGTTTCTCTACCTTCGCATTACTTACAATGTTTATATTAAATGTTGTTTCTCACCCCTTTGCTGAATGATGTCCACCACGGACATCTTGCAGATACTCGTGAGTAAAGTTGTTGTTATGTGTGGAAGGTGGTTTGTTGGAGCTATTTTTCATTTTATTTATCACTTTATAGTATATTAGTGGTTTTTAGTGCTCAGATCGTGTAATATCAAGGAAGGACGTTTGTTACATATGATTGACATTAGTGTTTTAAAAGTTAATGCCTTATTTATAAAATTTAATAATGAAGTTGTTTTAATATGATTTTTCGTTGCATGTTGACAAGTTTTTGAAAGTTTGTTGTTAGGTTGTCGTTGACGACACCTAAAATTATCGATTAACTCTTTTTATATAAGTTTCGGGGTTTACAGTGTTATATATAAAGCGAGAGATACATACAATGCGAGCAAGACAGATCCATTGACGGAAATGCAAATGTTGTTAAGTCTTATTCAAAGAGAGAAATACATATGCTGGACTAGAAATAAGGAAGACTCAAATGTTGTTGTTGATATTTTTTGGACACATTCTAATTCAGTGAAGTTGTTGAATATGTTTTATTGATGTTTATTTTTGACTGTACATACAAGACAAATAGGTAATGGTGTTCACTCATTAAAAAATGTAGATTTTGATTTAGAAGGTTTTTTATTATGTGCATCACGATCATACAGGTACTAGCTATCACTGCTTGAGATTGTTGGTGCTACGTCAACAAAGTTGACGTTTTCGGCTGGCTTTGCCAATTTAGAACATGAAAAGAAGGAGAACTTCAAATGGACATTGGAAAAGCTCAAAGAGTTGTTCTCTTATGAGAATTTGCTACCGAAGGTTGTAGTGACAGACTGGAATCTTACGTTGATGAATGTCATTGAAGTTGTGTTTCCAAGTTCAACTCATCTATTGTGTTCGCTCCATATTTAAAAAAAAAAATATTAGTATGAAATGTAAAGAGTATATTAAATCAGAAATAAAGAACATGTCATGGATCAATGGAACAACATCATGTATGTTAATAGAGAAACTGAGTGTGTCGAACACTTGAAGCACTTTGAGACTGTTTGTATTGATAATCCATTATTTGTTAAGTATGTGAGTAAAACATGATTTTCACCTTATAAAGAAAGATTTGTTACTTCTTGGACTAACAGAGTCACTCATTTAGAGAACATAACAACAAACAGGTACTCAGACGCTATTTTGATGTTATTACATTATTAAACATTATTTAACATATATTTATATTTATGGTTTTTAGGGTGGAGTTCGCTCATTGAAGATTAAAAAATATTATTTACTACAAGACGATAGATTTATATCGATGTTGGGATGTTATGAACACCATATTGAAGTTGCAACTAGGTTGAATCAGAGTCTTGTTTCAAAAAAGTATTGTCAACATTTAGCATCAGTATATCACTCCATTTTATGCTAACTTGCACGATTTTATTTTGAGACTGGGTATACAACACATTGTAAAGGAACTAGAAAGGGTAAAATTTATTGGTGCAAGCCAAGATGCATGTGGTTTCTTCATTATAACAACACATGGGTTGTCGTGTGCGTGTCAACTTGTCGGTTTCCAAATACAAAGCAATCATGTTCCTTTAGAACTTATTCATGTATTTTTGAAGAAATTACACACTGAAGAGCGTGAGGCCAGTCATGAAGAAAGTGGTACACATTTGGATTTAGAAGCTGGATGTGAAGAGTTGAAGACATATTTCAGTACTTTAGATATTATAGTCCAGAGGGTGTTGAAGAAAACGGTTCGGGAGCTAACACATTTATCAACAACTTCTATGTGTCCACCGCAAGTAAAGTACAAGTCAAATGTTGTAGTTAAAAAGAGTAAAAAGGGTCAAGAGAGTGACACGCATCTTGATCCTTCACAATGGGAGTATGTTGAGGGCTCACAGGAAATTCAGACTACTAAGAGATAATGCATAAAATCAATTGGATATCAATTGTCCATTGCATCTTTGAGAGATGTTTATTTGTCTCTGTTTCCTGATTTCCTACATCCATACATTGATGACATTGTTAATGTGGGTGGCAATGGAAGTTGTGGTTTTCGGGGTATTACAGTTTTATTTAGATCGTGCGAAGCGTCATGGTTTTTGATTCAGACACAATTAGATACTCAAGTTCATAAACATCCTCAATTGTTTTTCAATTTAGTCTATGAAGGTCCCTACAATAGGAATGTGTTACAAGTATAACACTTAGGTGTGTAGGATATTGATAAATGGATGACGATTCCTGATATGGGTTACCTTATTGCTTCTAGATACATTGTCTTATTTGTCTCTCTATCCAAGTGACTTAACATCAAAATTTTCTCTATTGCCTTAACCCCACCTATGTATACAAGCTGACATAAAATCATTGTTGTTGATTTTGTCAACAACAATCATTGGGTTCAGGTAAAGTTTAAATTTGATTGTACATTGCCTCTTGTCACTGATCGTTGGAGACAGAACTGTACCGAAGATGCAAAAGTATGGAAATCAACATATGTGAAACACATTAGGCACTGGGAAGACGAAGTTAGGAATTCATGTTAATTTATTTTGTATTCTTATATGTAGCACGATTTTTATTATATGTATATATTTTATCGAGTAATTTTTTTATCGAGTCGGTTATTCTAGAAAAACTAATGCAGGAAATTAGTGAAAAATTTACTTCACTGTATACTAGAAATTTTGTATTTCCGAAATTTTGTGGTTAATGTCAGAAATTTCATAATTTCTAAAATTATGTTAAATACTGAAAATTTCAAAAGTTCTAGTAATTCTAAATTGTCAGTATTTCTTTACCTTTGTTTCGGTAAAAGAAAGTTATTTTCAGAAATTTCCAATAAATATTCCAAATTTCCGATACACAGAAGCATATTTTTAAAATACCAATATTTACTGAAGGATATAATAGTAAAATTACTCTAAATATCAAAATGTCGGGTATAAATGGGGGTGGCAGGCTAAATGCTCATTTACACCGGTAAGAACTCATTACAACAATACCATGGATTGGAAAAATTCATTTCAAAATTAAAATTTTTTTAATCTTCATCTACAATGAATGAAACATTTAACTTGTTACCCTCTCACTTGAACCTGACACCTCCTCCATTTTGCACAATTTTACCATTATATCTTTATATAAAAGTTAGATTTGTTTTATAAATTTAACTGTTTTTTTTGAAAATTTGTAGTATTTATCAAAAAAAGTTTTATTTTTTATCGAAATTTTCAAAAAAAAAAAATGAAGAATACCAAAATTAAAAAAGAATTACATTACTGAAAATTTCAAATTTTCTAATACACTATCAAAATTTACAATTTAGTTGAAATTTCTGATATAAAATAGAATATTTAGAATTTCTGATAATATTTTTAAATTTACATAAATTTTCAAAAAATTTAGGATACTGAAAATTTTAAATATATTATTGAAAATTCTGATATGTCTATCAAAAATTTGGTACGAAAATTTCTTTCAAATTTTTTCAAAGGTAATTTATTTTAAAATTATGAAACTACAAGGAATTTCAGGTTCAAATTGAGAGGTGGCAAATTAAATACCGATTGAATATTCTCCAATGAATGCATACACAATTTAGTGGATTTACACCAGCAAGGACTCGTCACAATGCGATGGATTAGAAAAATTAATTTCAAAATAAAAAATTCCATCTTCAATGAATGCATACACAATTTAGTGGATTTACACCGGCAAGAACTCGTCACAATATGGATTGGAAAAATAAAGGCAACTAAAACCTCAAATGAAGAACCCCAAATTCATTTTCTCCATCAACTCTGATGAATGAGTTTTTAGATTTTATTAATGAAATTGTTGGGTTGAAATTGGAGAAGAGGCAATGTCAGTGCTACATAGATTGCTGTCGTAGGAAGAGAAAGAAACCAAAAACTAAACTGTCTCAAAAGCTTTAATGACTTCAAATACCCCTAAGAGGACTTTGGAAACTTTTATCTAGAAGAAATAGTGGATGAAAGTGTGATTTTCTTTAAAGAAATGGAATCCAAAACTATGACTCCTAATACAATAACATACAATTCCCTTAATGACAAACTTTGCAAATTGGGGAGAATCTATCATGTTTTAATATTTCTATGTTTAATGAAACAATGATCTGAATAAAATAAACAGTTATTGTTACATTTCAAAACTAAGGGCTTACAAGATAATATCATTACTGGTCCTCCATACCCTGACAAGTTTGTCATAGAATGAGCAAGTGGCCACTACTGGTTTACTTCTCCCTTCAATGAGCTTCACTTCTCCTTTCTGCCAGTCTGCTCCATATGCAAGTGAACCATGCTTCTTGTATGTTTCCAACACCTCAGCTTTGTCGCCTTTAATACCAACGATCGCAAAACCGTTGTGCATACAGGCAGCCAAAACAAGGCCTTGAATGTCGGGATGATGCTTCACCCTCCAAACACCTCCACCTAAACTGATTGAAGTTTCATCAACAGGTTTTGAGATTGATCTTAAATCCCAAACCCTCAAGAATTCATCATAGCTGCCAGTTAATAATATATTTGGGTCATGAGGACTCTTTTCAATGCTAGTAACACCCATTTTGTGGACTTTAGAGTTCTTAAATACAAGATTGGAAGGACTATCCCTCAAATCCCAACAACAAAACTTACAATCGTCAGAGCCAGTATACACCAAATTTGGCTGGTGGATATCAAAAGAGGTTGTCCAAAGTTCAAAATCATGTGCGTTCCACTCCTCTTGTATTTCCAATTTGGATTCAAGGAGAGAAACAATAGAAACACAGCCATCAGAAAGCCCAACTGTGATCGATGTCGATAAAGGATTCCAATCCAGGTACAAACACATTGAGTTACTGATTTTCTCGCTTGTAATCTCTTTTAAACAAGTCCCTGTCGTTGAATCAATAACAATTTTTTAATACAATGTAACTCGGCAAAGGAATGAATCGCAGCTCTCTGTAGCAAAAAATAAACTTAGATAATATGATGGTGTGATTGAGTCCATTAATAAATGCCAGTATCTCCTGACAAAAATGAAATATTTACACGGCAAGGCATGTGTCATTACTTTATCTAGAGAGAAGAAACTTTGATATGTGGAAGGTACTGCTTAAAGTTTAACTGTAAAGTAGGAGGTTGTATTTCGTAATGGATATTTAAATAAACAACCAATCCACCTGAAAAAAGGCCTAAGTGCATATCCAGCTTGTTATCAACTTTTAATATATATATCCTTTGCATGTAGAGAAATCAAATCTTTGATAAATTAAAAACTATAGGCACTAAGAAATTAGAAAGTGATTGTAAGTAGTATTTAAATACTCATACAATACTATATAAGGAAAAAAGAAAGCCTTTCAATTAGGAACCAAACCTGATATAAGGATGTTTGTTAGTGTCGTGATGGGATTTTTCGGACTTTAAAAATATGTAAATGTTAAAAGTTTGGCATTTCATACTTTTAAAAAGCAGTTGACTGTTAGTGAATACAATTCTTCTGGTGGTATGTAGTTCTTTCCACTGCCAATTTATCAAGGATAAGCAGTATTGTCAATCGTGGATCGCAGAAAACAACAGTTTCTTCGAATTCCGCTTAACTACAGTGCTATAGCGCCTCTGTAGCTACTATTAAACAACACTTGGTACTAAATTGTGTATTGCAGAACAATGATGATTTGTTTAAATTTTGATAAGCTAAAGCCGCTATTTAACAACACTGAGGGTAAGTGCTAAAGATATTTTTTAGACTTCTATCAAGCTTGTAGTTGTACTCACTGGTGAAAAAAGTGTTATAGAAATGAAAGAATCAAGGGAGAAATCCATACCTTGTACTCCATCATAGCAACCATCCAGCTTCTTAATTCTCAAGTATCCATCCGCATCTGCTTGACCTAAAAAAGGACCCGTGTTCCCTGAGGGTGGATTCCACTTTATGTCGAAAATCCCACTAGTCTCCTCACTATAAACGGTGTGAAAATTGTTTGTGTTCCCGTCAACATTGAATAGTGAAATGCTTCCACATCTAGTGGGTTGATCACCTTCGTGTAGTGTGTAAGTGGATGCTGCTAAAACATTATGGTGCCCATTATGTGGGCAAAACTCAACAGCATCTGCATTACCTTCTAAATAGCAATGTGCCACATCCATGCTGTCTAAATAACTGCACGTTATAACACCACAAATAAGAACTTAATTAAAGATAGAATGAGCAAGAATGAATATCCTACCAGTGAATGAAACATAAAAACTACAAAGAGGTTTTTTTTTTCCGCAGGTTTCACTTTTCACACTAAAATTTACATCCCCCACTTGTCATTTCTCACAGCATTGCTTAGGTCTGCATAATTGGAACATAGGCCTACATATTTGGTACTTAGGTCTATCTAATTGGTTCACAAACCTACTTTAAAACATTTTGTATTCGAGTATTCAATGAACGACTTAAAACTTACTTCTGAAACAATGAGCATGAACACAAATTTATATGACGCCTTTAACAATCTTAACTAAGACACTACAACCCATGGTACATACATTGTATTCTCATGAATCTGAAGTGCTAACATCATAGTTAAGTTCTTATCCCATTCACAACTAACCACCAATCATTAATTCCAAAAATCACCAATTTAATACACAAATAGTATATTTTCATGGTTCATGATCAAGAGTCCCCACTACAAGCAAAAAATGTCATTCAATATTCAGTCCAAATGCTATCTTTCACCAAGGAAGACTCAAATACAAATAAGAAAACACATACATAGATATCCTAAAACTCTGGTATCAACGACATCTAATTAAATCAAAGCATAAATTTTTGGATGCACGGTTATTCTAAAAGGAAAACCCACACAGAACATTTTACAAACACCTTATATGCACATAAAAAACTGGAAATTTTGGGAATGCTTACCGTGAATAAACTAGTAAAGAAAAAACGGTGAAGCCCTAGTTCTTAGATGTTCCCCTTTTTTCGTGGAGATTGAAGTATAGATGAATCTATTTTAAAGTTGTGAAGGAGTAGTGTAGGTGATGGAGAACAGAGGTGAAGATGTTGTGGAGTGAGTGTGACTATGTCCCGGACAAAGGGGAGGGTGAGAGAAATTATTTATGAAAAAAATTATAATATTGATAAGAGAAATTGAACCAACAATATTTATAGAAAAATCCTTAGAGCATCTCCAACCGTGAACTCATTTTTGGGTTCTTCGTGGGACCTATTAAGCCACGTCAGCTTGAAGCAACTCAACTAATTTTTCACTCCAATGGCGCAATTCTGAAGAACTCATATTGGGTCCCACAAGTTTACTTTATATGTTAATATTTTATTCATATTAAATTTTATATCATTTAAAATAATAATTTTAATTTTTTTATAGAAAATTATTCCAATCTACTATATAGTACAACCGGTATATAGTGTTGTTTTAAGGAAAAATATTTCATTCTACTATATAAACTTTAAAAAAATTAGATTAAATTTTAAAAAATATTTCAATCTCTCCTTAGTTAATTTTAGTGTTTTAAATTAAATTTGATATAAAATTAAAATAAAATTAAAATTAAAAATTAAAATTAAAAATTAAAATAAATAAAAATAAAATAAATAAAATTCAAATTAAACATATAATTTAAACTTATAATTAAAATATAGTTGTCATATTATAAAATTAATATTTTAATATTGTAATTATAATTTTCATATGATAATTAAAATGATAAATAAAATTTTATATTAAATTATAATTTTTATATTATAAAATTAATATTTTAATATAAGAACAGTTGAAGAACCGTTGCTTAATTAAGCACCGTTCAACAACATGGCAATCTTGGAAACAACAAATATGAGTGACATGTTGGCAAACCCACTCTAAGAACTCCCATTGGAGTTGGTCTTAGACCCATAAAAAGTGGTTGAGTATCTATATTTTTAGTTGAAATTGACTTAAAATGTTAATTTATTTTAAAATAAAAAATATATAAAAGATTATATGACATTGAATATAAATGTTTTATTGGATCAGGGTATGAGTAGTCAATTAAATTTAAGGATATTAGAGTATTAACTGTATTTTTTTAAATGGGACTTATACATCAAAGTTGTTGAAATGACTTTTTTATTTATTTCCGGTTTTATAAAATTAATATTAAATTAAAAATAACTTTTATTTGACAAAATCAATTTTCAATTGAAATTTTTTAATTTTAAATTCATGTTTCGAAAGATCTGATGAAAGTTTGAATACCCTTCATTATTTTCTTCTGATCATCCACTTTCTTTCAATGGTGCATATCGAATTCTTATTTGTTTCAATTCACTCTTTAATGTTATCAACTAAATATTATCTATCTTATTCGTTCTCTTTCCTCACCCAATTTCGTATTTGTTTCGGGTTCAATGTATAACTTTAAGAGGTAACACTCGTTTATTCCGTATTGTTTGTGTTGGTCATCTAAGGGTATTAAAATTTTTTCATCTTTGTGTTACTCCCTCACCCAAATTTACAGTGGAATGTTGTCGTCTTCTTTCACAAGGAATTGTTCGTATCTATCTCAATCTTTATATTTTTCCAAAATCTAATTGATTTGAGTTATTGTACATGAATTATTGAATTGGGTATTAGGTTTGTATTTTTTGTTGAAGTTGATTTGAGTTCTTACCCAAAAATAATTCATTTGGTGATTAGAGTTTGAATTTTAAGTTGAAGTTGATATGTAATTTGGGGATTGGGATTTGTATTTTAAGTTGAAGTTGATTCAATTTGTACGTATGAATTATGGAATTAGAGATTAGGTTTTTTTTTATGAAATTCCTAAATTTTGAAAATTGCATTTGCCTTTAGTTGGTATATAGTGAAATAATCTTAATTTAATTGAAACCCTTGAATCTTGGGGATTTTAATTGAATTGTTAGTTTTTTAGTTGCATAAAGAGGAATTTATATTGTGATATTATTCAAATTTAAGTTGTGTGTTATTGTAAATTACTTTGATGATTTATTCTTTAAATATCATGCCGTTAAGTAATGGCTGCAAACAATTTACTTATAGTGTTTGAACTCGAAAACACACACTAAAGAAGAGTTTGCATGGGTAAACAAAGCAGAGTTGATTCATGTAGCTTAACTCACTTAATGGAATAAGGTTTCAGTGTTGTTGTTGTTTTACTTTATTATATTAAATATTTTGATAACTAACAATAGATTGGGAGGGAGGACTTGTTTAGTGGACTATGTAAGACTTTAACTTTACTAGTGTGCGATTGTTGTACAATGTTTTTCACCATTTATTTGTGAGTGGAAAAGTAGATTAGTTTTTTGTGTGAGAATTGGTGCAATCTTACTATTTTGGTTTTGTACATAATACTTGCTTGCTTTTACATACCAGGGAGTTTGTGGTATGAGATCTTTTACTTTATTAAAATCATACAATTTAGTAATGATAATATGTAGTAGAAGTGGTATCCTATAGATGCTTTAAAAGTATTTTAGAACAATCCAATTGGTCCTAAAACATTTAACTTTTGGGGTTGCCAATTGGGGATTCGGCCCAACTGTGAATTTCAGTCATATGATCATTCATTTTTGTTATTAACAAACTTTTAAAGCTAATATGCCAAACTTTTTTACATCGAAAAGGCTTGGCTGACATCAATAAACCTCATGAGATATTAAATTTCTCCTTAGTGTATTGGCTTGTAGATTAATTATTTCGTCACCTTTTTTTTAAATTTTTGTAGCAAAAGCATCACTCACGAGGTTTGCATGGATGGTACAAAGACGTAACTATCGCCTTCTCGCAGGTCATGCTTCAGATGAGACTATTCAGCTCTATCAACAAATCTGGTGTTCATAAAGAGTTTGAACTCAAAAACAAACACTGAAAAATGGCTTGCATGGGTAAACAAAATAGAGTTAATGTGTGTTATTAACAAGCACAAGTGTCGTGTTCGTGTGGGATGCAAGGACACAACATAATAATAAGAAAATCTATTATTTTCACCACCTGGATAAAAGTAATCCAGATACTGTCAGGCCTACCCAGTACAACATGCAGTTACTTCTAAGATGAAATAAGAATCATAAATTTCCCGATTCCGACACCTGGAGGTACCCCTTCTACCTTCTTGACCGCACTTTCGATGACTTCCTATAGGAATGGTCCTACAAAATTTACTATTTCCACCATCGGAGTAGAAGTAATCTGGATACTGTCTTTCCCACCTGGCACAACGTGCAATTACTTCTAAGTTGCAATAAGAATGAGAAATTTCCCGATTCTGACGCTCAGGCGTAAGCTTTCTTCCCTCATGAAGGCACTTTTGATGACTTGCTATAGGACGGGTCCTACAAAGTCGACTATTTCCACCACCGGGATAGAAGTAATCTGAATATTGTCAGACCCACCTAGAAAAACATGTAGTTGCATCTGAGTTGCAGTAAGAATAAAAAATCTCCCATTTTCGATGCTCGGAGGTACCTCTTATGCCCTCCTGACCACACTTCTGATGACTTCCTATAGGAAGGGTCCTACAAAACAAATTATTTCCACCACGGGGATAGAAATAATATGGATATTGTCTAGTTCAACTGACACAACATGCATTTACTCATAAATTGCAATAAGAATTAGAAATTCCATGTTTCCAATGCTCTAAGGTGCCCCTTCTGCCCTCTTGACTGCACTTCCGACTCCTTCCTATATGAAGGGTCCTACAAAACCAACTATTTTCACCACAGGGATATTTATTAATCTGGATATTATCACACCCACGTGAAATAATATGTAGTTACTCCTAAGTTGCAATAAGAATAATAAATTTACCGATTTTGATGCTCAAAGGTTCCTCTTCTACCCTTCTGATGACTTCCTATATAAAGGGTCCTATAAAATTGACTATTTCCACCACTGGAATAGAAGTAATACAAATACCGTCAGGCCCACCTGGAATAATATGTGATTATAAGTTGTAGTAAGAATCAGAATTTTCACGTTTCTAATGCTCGGAAGTACCCCTTCTACCCCCTAATCGCACTTCCGATGACTTATAATAGGAAGGGTCCTACAAAATTGAATATTTCTACCACTTAGATAGAAATAATATGGATATCGTTAGGCCCACCTGACATCAAATGCAGTTAC